CCTATAACTATTTTGTACTTTATCCTAAACTCCCTTCATATTAAAATAATAGTTAATTATAAATAACAAGATCTATATCAGAAATACTTAAGATTAATTTGGTAAAGCTATATACATATTTTATATTAAATACTAATTAATAGAAAGAATATTGATATATACTTCAATATTATTTAAATTATGAGTATAATTTATATATATTTTATGTATTGCCTACTTTATGTTTATTATTATCTGTCCATTTAAAAGGATTTCATAAAATATTTTAAGCAGCTTTTGATATTTAGATTGATAACTTTTAAGAAACAGTAGTTAATTATAAAAGACATTATCTGACATAAAATTTTGATATATAGTAGTATTTTAGTTTAATATAAGTTGTTTAGCCTTTTTAACTAATACAACTGATCTCTATCATGATAAAAATAAAATTTCTAAATAAATGTAATCTAATCCTTTGAAAAATAGAATCATTTAAAGTAATAAGAAAAGATTTAAATAAATAATTTTATAACTGAAAAAAATAAGTTTAACAAGATTGAAATCTTAAAACACAGTAATAAAGAGTAATGTTTTGAATAATATGGAAATGTTAAATATCAGGTTAATCTGTTTAAAGATCATTATTTTCACCTTTGGTATATACTAATGATGACATTACTGTAATTCAAGATTTAAATCATAATGAAATAATTTGAATTTTTATTATTCTTAAGTACATCATTTAGAATTTTTGTTTGATTAATGATATTACTAACTATAAACTGGAATTGGAAACTATATAGATGATTGTTCTTGAAATCAAGTTTACTAGGAGTACTTGATGTTTTTTGTCCTTAATCTTATCTATTTTTTCAGTTCAAATAAACGAATTCTATCAATATGGTCAAGCATAAAGATTAGATGTAGAGATCTCCTAATCACAGTTGAGTCCATTAACGCAATTCCTAGAAATAATTTATATTGTTATAAAAAGATCTGAAATAACCTTAAAAAATTAGGATAAATAATAATTTATTTAGTACTTTTTCTAGAAAATTTATGTTTAATATGGCTCTTAAAATTCTTATAGAATATCTTAATAAATAGATTTTATAAAGATTTTAATTTAGAATTTACTTTTCATCTTAAAAATAAAATTTCAAAGAGAGTTTCTTTAATAAACTTGTAAAAATCTCAATTAGTTAATTGATAATAAACTTTATTTTATACAATATCCATATTAAAATAGTTATCTTTAGATGAATTTGAGAAATATTTATTTTTTAAAGGAAACAAGACATTTTGAGTAATGGGGAAGAATTTTAATATACATAATTGATCTTCATAAATGATCACCCTAATTAGTAATAATAATTTAGATAATCTATATATAATACAATTTATAAAAAAGAATAACATTAATAAAATGAATTTGTTAATCTATAATTACTTATACTTGCTCTCTTTTATATATTTTAAAATGGATAGAATAGAGATTTAATTAACGAGTTTATATCAAATTGTTGTTTTTCTTTAAAAGATTATATATATAAATTATAAATAATCATACACAATATTCAATTATATTTATTAAAGATCATAGAATTATTCATACTATAAAAAACAAATAAAAATACTAAAAATTATGATTTAATCAAAATGAAATAAAATTTTTACGATTAATGAATATTCCTTTAACGATTAAGGTAAAATTCTTAATTTACTTTGATTATCATGGTCTCTTTCTTATCACTTAATAATATTAATTTAAGCAGTATAATTATAGAGTATTTATTTCATGATCTAACAAAAATTGAAACCATTTTTTTACTAAGATAAGGTACAAAGATCTAACAACCTACAGATCAGAAAAATTAAAACAAATTTCAGATTTTTAGTATAATTTAGAAAATATAATAACTACAAATCGTATTAAAAATTAATAATAATAATAATAATAATGAATAATATGCAAGGATAATAATTCATTTTAATCTTATTTTTATTTAACTAAATCATTATCTGTTTTGGATTTAAAACTTTATTGGGTTAAAGCATATTTAACATTTTGCCTAGGGTAACAGAAGGCTCAATTAAAACATAGCTGAATTTTGAGCAGAATTTAAATAGTGGACATTCATCATAATCAAATTAATATAGTTTGATTTAGTTATCTGTCCTAAATTCTAAGAATTCAAACTAAAATTTCAAATTAGTTTGATACTTAACTAGTGTTAATTCCATATCATAATTGTCTTACTGCTATGGCTAAAAAAAAATTTGATACAAAGAGGATAAATTAAACCATCATTATAACATAGATCTCCTACCTTTTAAGAATTAATTAGCATATAGATTCTAGCAGCATTTTACAATCCTTCATCAAAGGATTATATAGTATATCAATAAATAAATCGTCTTCCCAGAAATTCCTCCTCTTTGGGAAGCATTAGGTATCTCAAACCACAATGGTAATTTTAAAGGTTATTGGATTATTTGATTAATTTGGCTCATTTTATCTTATACAAACGTATTAGCAAACAGATTTAACTTTTTCTCCCTAAAATTTAAATTCATTTAATTTTTTAGTTAGAGCAGATATCACATATGTACCCATTCTTTATTTACATTCCTTTTATTGCATTTCCATTAAGTGATTCACAATTTCACTCATATGATTGTATTCATTTTTTAATCAATTTTTAATAATCTAATTTATTATCAGCACTTAATTAATATTATTGCTCAACTAAAATTGCTTGATAAATAAGGATTTTTCCATTATTGTAATTGATCGAATTTTTTAATCCCTAGAGAATGTAAGTGAATTACTTTATTTATTCCTTTAGTTATATAGCCCAATAGAGAAACGAAAAAGCTTTTTTCTTTTATTGTAACTTCTTTACTAAAGACATTGTAAAAAAATCAAGAGAATGAAATAAATAATAAGGTACAAAAAGTAAAAACTAGAGAGAAATTTATGAATCATTACTGATCACATACATTAATGATTAGTCTTAGAAGGCAATAAAATTTCTTTATAAAAAGTATTTAGTCTTAAAAAATCTTTTGAATATTACGCTAAAATATACTATCAAATGTTTAAAATTATTAATCTTAAGAGTATTAAGATGAAATGTTGTTTTGGCATCGATTTTTAAAGAAAAAATTCTAAATTTTAATCATTAAGAATGAAGAAATCAAGTATGATACTTCTGATGGATATATATTGAGAATGTCATTTTTATAATTTAATAATTAGTGATTATAATAAAGACCCATAAACAAATCCAGAAATCCTAAATAATTTAGAATAGTTCAAATATCTTTAATGGCATGGTGATTATGGATAGAATCTAAAAAAAGTTGGGTAATGGAAAGCAATTTGGAAAGGTAAAATCTTAAAACATGTAGATATGTAGATGGTTAGTATAGATTAAATTGAAATAATTAAATAAAATAATATATTATACAAAGAGGATAGAAAAAAAAATAGGGTACTCCACTTTTTAAGTATCGAAAATGCATATGTTGCCCAATTTTCTGAGAGAAATAGAATTTTATTGACTTATTACTCCATAAAAGTTGTTAAGTTAAGTAGAAGAGAATCAAAAATATTAATTATTAAATGAGTAAAATTCAGAATAAATGGCAAGATTTGAAAGAAAATATACAGACTTTATGACTAAGGATTTAAAGTGCCAGAAAATTATGTAAATTTAGCCAAACTTATATTCTAATAGATAAAATGCTCATCCAATATTTCTATTAATCAATTTTATAAGATTCACTTTAAAAATTTCAGATAAATTATTTAAATTTAATAGTTAATTCTTATCAAAAAATACAATATTATCACAGTGCTATATAGTTTACTTTGAGCTGAATTTTTTATTTTTATAGAAACAATGTGGATTGAATATACTCGTTTTGATATTAGGCTAAAATAAAATTATTATCATGAATTAGAGATCAATTGAGTTTTGGAAATTTATTAAAAATGATTAAGATTTACTCAACAATAAGTTGAAATTTATGAAAAGTGAAGGTGAATCTGATGAAAAATAAAACTATAAGTCTTTCTTAAACTTTTCCTTTTGTCTATGAAACTTTACAGTATTAATAATTAAATCAAGATAAAATCTTTTGTGTACTTTGAGAGCTAAGTCAATCATACCAAAATTCGAAAAGTTGCACATTACCAAGCCAGAATATTACATCAAATTATTCTTACTAATGTGTACACCTTACTATTTTCTATGGAAAATAGAAATTGACCTTCATGAAATGAACTAATAAAATTTGGCTCTATATATTCAGTAAGCAAAAAAAAAACTATCTCATTGGGGTTAACTTAAAGGTTAGGGATTATTTTAAGTTTAGTCTTAGGTTTTACTTGCAGTTTTTTAAGAATTTTAATTATAAGAGGGAGTTCATCTTTTGGAACTATTCTCTTACGGAATTTGCACTCCCTCTATGCCCTTGCATTGTTCTGAAAAAGTGTGTGAGGGAGAAACATTTAGGCCATGGAAACGGATTTGGATGCCAACACTAAGCTAGAGAATTTCACTTTGAAAAAACCCCCCTTGCTAACTTTAACATAAATTCATAAAAAACTATTTATTTAAAAAATTTAAATATTCCATTTCGATTATATTACCTACCTTAATTTCAATTACTAACATTTTATTTGAATCTTCATTTGTTTTTGTTTGGTGCTTTTTAAAATTCTCTATCTAAATATATTTATATATTTATAAACTATGTAAATAAAATCTATTTTGTAGGATAACAATATTAGCCTAAAATATATATTATTTCTTATAAGAGTTTAAATTATCGATATCTACATTGAGATAGCATTAAGAATATTATAGTTTAAAATGAAAGCAGGAGTGTATACAAATGAATATAAATATTGGTAAAAATACTTCAATAATAGATTATAAATGATAAGCTAAATTATTTTACATAAAATTTATACTAAAACTTATATGATTTAATGTATGTTATAATAATCAATTTGATATTTATTCTAATTTTCTTTAACTCTCTAGGATGAGAGCTCCTCTTTACTAAAATTACTTTATTAAATTTATGCCTAATTGATTTTTAAATTCTCCTTTCCAGATTAAAGCCCCGTAAGATTAAAATATTAGCTATTTGGATATCAAAAGAATAGTAATATAAGTGGAGGCTAAATAATATAAAATTATAAATACTGCTATTATTCTGAGGGTTATTTGTAAATATGGGTAATTTGAATTTTGCCAATATATCATTGTAATTATTATCAAAGAATTATATGTATTATCCTGTTTTAACATCCCATAAATGGATTGAATTATCTGCACTATCAGATGCTAATGTAGTACCATCAGGAGACACGATTATTGATCTTCTATATTTAATATGAGGGTTTTATAAGGCTTGAAATTTTTCTGCTTTAACATTCCTTAATTAGATAAATTTATCTGCACTACAAGATGCTAATTTAGTACCATCAGGAGAGAAACATACTGCATATACAGTTTTTTTATGACCATCAAATTTGGCTTTTTATTGTGCAGTCTTAACATCCCATAATCGGATTGAAAAATCTACACTACCAGATGCTAGTTAGGTACCATCAGGAGAGAAGCACACTGATCGGACTCCACTAATATGACCATCTAATTTGGCTGTTTAGTGTCTTTTTTAAACATCCCATAAAAGAATAGACCTATCGTCGCTACATGATGCTAATGTATTTGAATCTGAAGAAAAGCAAACTTATCGTATAGCAAAACTATGGCCATCTAATCGTTTTATGAATTATCCAGTTTTAACATCCCATATACGAATAGAATTATCGACACTACCAGAGGCTAATAGAGTACCATTAGGAGAAAAGCACACTGATATAACAAAATGAGTATGACCATCTAATTTTGTTTTCTAATGACCTGTCTTAACATACCATAAACGGATAGATTTATCATCACTTCCAGATGCTAATATAGTACCATCAGGAGAGAAGCATACAGATCGAACTACATCACTATGACCATCTAATTTGGCTTGCTATTATTTTTTCTTAATATTCCATAAACGAATAGACTTATCATCACTTCCAGATGCTAATGTAATTTAGTCTGGAGAGTAGCATATTGAATTTACACTACCACTATGACCTTCAAATTAGGCTGTTTATTAACCTGACTTAGCATCCCATATTCGGATAGACTTATCCTCACTGCTAGATACCAAAGAAGCGCCATCAGGAGAGAAACATAAAGAAAAAACAGACTTACTATGTCCATTTAAATTAAATTTTCGAATGCTTGACCCAATACTCCATAAACGAATAGATTTATCATCACTTCCAGATGCTAATGTAGTACCATCAGGAGAGAAACATACTGCATTTACACTTTTTTTATGACCATCTAATATGGCTTTTTATTGTGCTGTATTAACATCCCATAAACAGATACATCCATCTTTACTAGAAGATGCTAATGTAGAGCTATCAGGAGAGAAGCATATTGAATTTACATAAGTATTATGACCATCGAATTTGGCTGTTTATTAACCTGTCGTAAGATTCCATAAACGTATAGACTTATCGTCACTACTAGATGCTAATTTCACACCATCAGATGAAAAACATACTGATCGGACCCAACTACTATGACCATTTAATCTGATTTTTTAATGATTCGTCCTAACATCCCATAATCTGATAGATTTATCTACACTGCCAGATGCTAACATAGTACCATCAGGTGAAAAGCATACTGAATTTACTTGACCTCTATGACCATCTAATTTTGCTTTTTATTGACCTGTCTTTATATCCCATAAACGGATTGACTTATCTTGACTACCAGATGCTAACATAGTACCATCAGGTGAAAAGCAAACTGAATTTACTTGACCACTATGACCATCTAATTTTGCTTTTTATTGGCCCGTATTAACATCCCATAAACGGATTGACTTATCTTCACTACCAGATGCTATCATAGTACTATTAGGTGAAAAGCATATTGAATTTACATAGCCACTATGACCATCTTTTTTAACTTCTTATAGACTTTTTTAAACATCCCATAAACAGATTGACTTATCTTCACTACCAGATGCTAACATAGTACCATCAGGTGAAAAGCATACTGAATTTACTTGACCACTGTGACCATCTATTTTGACTTTTTATTGACCTTGCTTAACATCCCATAAAAGGATTAACTTATCATCACTACCAGAAGCTAACATAGTACCATCAGGTGAAAAGCATACTGAATTTACTTGACCTCTATGACCATCTAATTTTGCTTTTTATTGACCTGTCTTTATATCCCATAAACGGATTGACTTATCTTGACTACCAGATGCTAACATAGTACCATCAGGTGAAAAGCAAACTGAATTTACTTGACCACTATGACCATCTAATTTTGCTTTTTATTGGCCCGTATTAACATCCCATAAACGGATTGACTTATCTTCACTACCAGATGCTATCATAGTACTATTAGGTGAAAAGCATATTGAATTTACATAGCCACTATGACCATCTTTTTTAACTTCTTATAGACTTTTTTAAACATCCCATAAACAGATTGACTTATCTTCACTACCAGATGCTAACATAGTACCATCAGGTGAAAAGCATACTGAATTTACTTGACCACTGTGACCATCTATTTTGACTTTTTATTGACCTTGCTTAACATCCCATAAAAGGATTAACTTATCTTCACTACCAGATGCTAACATAGTACCATCAGGTGAAAAGCATACTGAATTTACTTGACCACTATGACCATCTAATTTTTATTGTAATTATCTTTTCGTAACATCCCATAATCTGATAGACTTATCTATACTGCCAGATGCTAACATAGTACCATCAGGTGAAAAGCATACTGAATTTATTTGACCACTATGACCATCTAATTTGACTTTTAATTGCCCAGTCTTAACATTCCATAAATATAATGATTAATTAACACAACCAGATACCAAAGTACCTCCATCAGGAGAAAAACATATCGACATAACTGAGTTACTATGTCCTTTTAATCTCAACTTTTTTTTTCTTGTACAGATATCCCATAAGCAAATAGACTTATCTACACTGCCAGATGCTAACATAGTACCATAAAGTGAAAAGCATACTGAATTTACTTGATCACTATGACCATCTAATTTTGATTTTTATTGACCTGTCTTTATATCCCATAAACGGATTGACTTATCTTGACTACCAGATGCTAACATAGTACCATTAGGTGAAAAGCATACTGAATTTACTTGACCACTATGACCATCTAATTTTTATTGTAATTATCTTTTCGTAACATCCCATAATCTGATAGACTTATCTATACTGCCAGATGCTAACATAGTACCATCAGGTGAAAAGCATACTGAATTTATTTGACCACTATGACCATCTAATTTGACTTTTAATTGCCCAGTCTTAACATTCCATAAATATAATGATTAATTAACACAACCAGATACCAAAGTACCTCCATCAGGAGAAAAACATATCGACATAACTGAGTTACTATGTCCTTTTAATCTCAACTTTTTTTTTCTTGTACAGATATCCCATAAGCAAATAGACTTATCTACACTGCCAGATGCTAACATAGTACCATAAAGTGAAAAGCATACTGAATTTACTTGATCACTATGACCATCTAATTTTGATTTTTATTGACCTGTCTTTATATCCCATAAACGGATTGACTTATCTTGACTACCAGATGCTAACATAGTACCATTAGGTGAAAAGCATACTGAATTTACTTGACCACTATGACCATCTAATTTTGCTTTTTATTGACCTGTCTTTATATCCCATAATTGGATAGATAAATCTGCACTTCCAGATGCTAAGGTAATACCGTCAGATGAAAAGCTTATTGAATTTACACTACTTTTATGAGCATCCATTTCATTTAATTCAGGAATTTTCATTTTATTCCATTTACAATTAAATAACTACGCTCCATTCAAATTTATTCCGCTAATATCTACATTTTCAAATCGAGATCCGCTCAAATTACATCCTACAAAATTAGCACCAACTAAAGATGTATCTTTAATTTAAATATTTTAATAAAATTTTCCCCTCAGATCTACATTCATTTCCACTAACAAATTAAGTGAATTTGAACCACATTAAATAAATCTACTATCTAAACTTGTGAGATGAATTAGAAATTATAAAAATGCAAGGATTTTCTTATCTTCTGATATTTTTTTAATTAGTTCTATTTTAATGATTTGATTCTTTTGTTAGGAATAATTATTCTTATTAAAATCATGATCTATAATCTTTTTGACAGCTATAGCAATTTTCTAAATGTTAAATTTAATAACTTAAAACAACTTTTCCTTAATGAAAATTTGATTTTCGAATTGTTAAAATTATTATTCTATAAGCATCTGATTTTCGTCTTTTGAAAGAAATTCTAAATAGTCTTCAATTAGTTTCTCTTTTTCTCTTTTGAACATTTCAAATATGGCCTAGAAGAATTAATCATTGACAACTTTTAATTCGGCTAATATCTCATACAAATCTTCTTTCTTTTGAGAATTGCGCTTCATTTTATTTTTTAAATATTGTATTTTTATTAAATCTACTTTCGGCTTTCTATTAAAAATTAAAAAAAAATATAAAATACATTTTTGAAAGAAGGAAGACCATACATTGAGTAAATTTATAGTTGATTGTAATTTTTATTAAATCGCTTAGAGGAAATTCAATTCAAAATATACATTTCTTGATTTTTAAGAATATATTATCAATAATTTTATATCAATATACGAATTAAAGTACATTTAGTTTTTTGATTAATCCAATTATAATTGTTTATCAAAATAGCAACAGGAAGGAAAATTCTTAATGATTTAAATAGTAATTTAATAAATATATTATCTGAAATCCCATTGCTTTCTTATGTATTATAAGGATAAATAAGTATTTCGTTTTCAAAGCTTTTCCTTCTACTCGCAAAAGAGTATATATTTAACCCTTAATATTTATTGTTTCCACTATTATTCCTAAATAATTTTTCTCTTCTTTTAACTCAGGTGAGATATTGGAGATTCTATACTAGGCTTACTTCAGCTGGGTTTATAGGGAGTAACATGATAAAGGCGATGAATTAGTTGAGCCTAATAGAATAAGCTTTAAAAAATCAAATAGTGTCTATTGATGCATGAATATTTGATTACTTTTACAACACTTAAGAGAAATATTATCTAACAAATACATTATCAATTCACGGTAACCGAAAGAGGATAAGGAATTCAGTATATAAAAGAGTATTCTGATTCTTAAGCAAGTAAATAGTGTGGAAAACAATAACAAATTAATAATGCTATTGAAGTAATGAATTGCCTTGTCCTATTTATGAAATTACAACGAATTTCAATTCATTTATTGATTCTTTAACTCTGGCATATGTTAATAACACTTCAAATTTATGCAATTCTAATTTACAGTATTAAAGAAAAAGAATGTGAAGTTAATTAGACTTGGTATTTAAATTCTTTAATATTTAAATCATAACTAATAGTTTTTATTTGTTTATTCAGAAAGAAATATGAAAATGTACGCAATAGCTATGAATAATTAATTAATGAATATGACTGATTAAATTAAAAATGTGTAATAAATTCTGTTATTTTAGGTTTTTAGTAAGGACTAATTTTTCAGATGCTAATTTTGAATGAACATGCACTACTTCCAAAATTGATGAAAATGCGTCAAGAGCATAGAGATGAGATGATTAAATGGTAGTTATGATCGCACTTATGTTACTTAGAATTATTAGAATGTTAGAACGGTGGTACCAAATGCATTTTACCAATTCATTGTTCTTAAGAATAAATAATATACCAATGCATTCAAGGTTTGAATGGAGCATATTTATGAAATGACTGGGTTTTATCTTCTTTCCATTCAAACATTCTTAGTAGTATAGATAAATACTATTTAAAAACTGTTCAACTATATTATGAATCTTAAATATTAGTAGAATATATAAATTTACCAATAATTTACGCATTATTGATGGACTCTGATATGTGGGATTAAAGAACTGTGCTAATTATGGATAGAGCTAGATTGAAATTGCTTATAGATTGAAACTTTCATCTGATTTACCTTTTCTAACTGACAATGAAGGGTTATACGAAATTATAATAGTATTTTCAATTAAAACAAAAGATCACTTTACTAAAAAAATTAAATAATTTATATCACAAGTTACTTAAAAATTAAATCCCTCATTTCAACTTAGATATTTAACTTTTGCTGTTGCTTTTAAAAAGAATGTATTATAAAAAAAAAAGAATAAAGACAGTTAATCCTTTTAAAGCTACTAATATTGGATGGATCATTTATATTATTTTTAATTTTTTGCAACTAAGCATATTTTAAGGAATAATTATATTTTATTTTGAAAAAATTTTTAGGTTTGAAAATAAAAGACAATGTTATACTTAAATCAGTTTTTTTTTCGTTCTACTGATTTAATTATTCTACTTTTGAAAAATAATATGGATCCATTAAAATTTAATAGAAATAGATTTAACTTTGGAAGAGTAATTACAAATAAATTATATAGATTTAATTTCAAAAACATATTCATTTTAGCAATTATAGTTTTATAGAATGATTGATCACGTAAATAATTTTGTATATAAATTGAAATTGAACATCCTATTATAATAAAAGTCTTTTTTTTTCAATTTTAGGCTTTTTAATGTCGCAACTTTAATCTTTTACTCTTTTAGGCATTATGATGTAATTTCATTCAATTCATATTTTTCTCTTGATATAATTTCTTAGTTCTTTTCCTTTTAGTAGTTGTCTCAAATGCCCTCATATAGTTGCTTCCATTAATATTCAATTTCTAACTATTAGTTGGTGAAGATCATAATCAATAAATGCTCATTAATTTAACAGTTTAGACATCAAAATTATAAAGATTTTATCAATATTAATTATTTTTTTAATAGGCCAAATGTTTTAAATTCAAAATAATTTTTAAATCAATTTAAAATTTTACAAAGAATTTAGAGAATGTTGATACCAAAAATATTAAAGAATATACTTTAGACTATGCATAAATATTTAATAATTTTTTTCAAACAAAAATTTTATTTAAATAAAGCAAAACTCAGGTTATTTTAGTATTTAAGCAATCCTTTTGGTTGTTCTTTTGTTTTTAATGAGAATTGAATGTTTTACCTAAATAACTGCTAGTTTTTAATCAAAATATATTTTTTTGTTCACTTTTTAATATATTTATTTTTAATTCGAGCTATTTTTCTGAAATCAATATGCTAACAATAAGCAATAAGTAAAAGATTTCAGAGAGAATTATTTTTTATTCTAATATTTAATATGAATTGTGATAAAATCAGATATTTTTTATCTACTTTCTGTGATTTAATTTCCTCATATAAACAGTAGTTATGGTATTCTATTTTATTTGCATCTAATTATTGTTTCCTTAAGTAAAAGAAATTTAGATGTAGTTCCTCTTATAAATATGTTAGAAAAAAGGTTTATAAAGAAAATATTTAAACAATATAAATCCTTTTTGAATTTCTAAAAATTGATTAATTCTTACATCCAAAACAAACTATCATTTTAATATAACCAGGACCTGTGGAATTAATAAACCTTATAAAAATCATTGTATTTTTATGAATATTAATAATTGCAGGTAGATCTTCACAATCTTGATCCCTACATACCTTACTTAGTTCTGTCCAAAGCACAATAATTTTTATAAGTAGCCTTATTAACTTAATGTGTGATGACTGTATTATCACAATTAGATTGAATTGTTTCACTCTTTGTAGAGCAAGATGCCTTTTTAGATTCGTATTAGTTAAAGTGCATTATGGCCTTGATATACAAGAATCTTAACATGTCTAAGTATTGCATTTGATAGTTCAAATACATCCATAACCAATAGTAACACAATTTGGATGATAATCTTAGATTCCTTATTAGTTTAAAAGTATTTAGAACTTCTGAAAAAACTATTTTGGTACAACCACTAACACTTGTTGCTTATCCATTGGATACGATATATTTGAATAAGAATTTGAATCATCGTTGTTATCTGTTCCGTTGAACATTTTTAATTTTGTATTTACTGGTCTTAATATTTGCATCATCTCCAGAAAATAAAATGTTCAGTAAATTTAAGTAATTCTACTATTAAAATAACTATAAATATCTAGTTGAGCTTAAGAATCAACATTAGTCTTTTTATTCATTTAGATTGTATAGGCAATATTCAACATTGCTTGTGCATCCACTTTCATTATGATTGATTGTCTATACATGTCTAGTTACTTTAAAATTATAAATAGTGATGATTTCAACTTCAAGTGGTGTGTAATTTTTATTCTTTTAAAAAGATCTCCTTCTATGATTTATCTTATTAACTAATTTCTTTTAGTTAGATTAATATATTAAAAAAACTTGTTTTCTGAAATTTTAAAACCCTTAGCATTAATTGTACCTAGGTCTACCTTCTTTCAAGCGTTAAGACTGAGCTCCGCAACATAATAACTAACTACAACACTTAGAACTGTTAGTACTTTTCAGTTGTCTAGTTCTAGAAATGGATTAGAGAATAAAGTCTAAACAGGGAGATTAGTTTCTTCAGTTATTGTACGGATAAGATTTATAATTCTTCAAACCTCATAAATATCCTGAATTGGAAACTTTAGGGTAACTGTTACATTCCTCAAGCAGTTCAAATAACTAATTTGATTTTAACAAGAAATCATATAATAACAAATTAAAATAAAAAATAAAGAAAATTATTAAAAAATGTTCATATCTTGAAGAATAAAAGAAAAAATAAAATATAAAAATAATAGAAAGAATATTAAAAGAGGTTCAAATATGAAATAAGTATATTATTGAAACAATAGAAAAACCTTAAATCTTTTTGTTCAAGTTATGAGGAATAATAATTTTGAAGAACCAATATGAGGATAGTTGATTTATAAATTTATTGAAGTGTATTGATTTAAGTTTGGCAGTATATTCTAAAGCTACTTATTTAAATGGTAAATGAATTTAAATAATAGTGTATAAAGCACCCTACAAATGTCAATAACTTTTTGTTGATGACTTTACTACTTCTAATTATCATGTTCACATTGGCCTTAAGTAATAATTTACAAATTAAATTTTCTCTTTATACGAAATGGATTAATTCAATTTATTCATAAAAATGATTAAAGTATTATTTTATAATCAAATTATTCATGGGATGTCAAGATTTTTATAAAGTATAGAAAGATGACCAATATTATCACAATATTGGGAAAGAATGTGACTTAAGTTAAATGTTATCTCTATAATACGAAAATTTAGCAATTTGTTAAAAAAAATAAAATTAATCTATATATGGAAACGTTTGTATTTGCCAGAAAAATTATTTGGAGCTGAAATTAGTAATTATTAAGGACAAGTCCAAATTGAATGTCAAAGTTTTAATAAATTAATCTCATATCGATTAACAAAATGAACTTCATTTTTTTGATGCAGCAGCATAATAATCTCTAAAACACTACGGTATTTTAAAAACAAAATGGTAATGCTATAATGTAATTTTAAAGTATTAGAAAGTATCTTCTTTCAATTAGTATTTAATGTGAAAGATTTTTAGAAAAAAATTTTCTCAATCACAAAAAAATTATTTGAAAAACTATCAGATTTTTCATTTAATCAATAAATTATCCTAAATTATTCTAAATTATCATTTCCACAAATTCTCATTAATAAATTGACTCCAAATCTCTGAAATCTATATTTTGGATAAATACATAGTTAAAGCTTTTAAGACCTATAGTTCTACAATTATAAACAACTGTATTTATATACTTTATAAATAATTATAAGGTGTTGGTATGTGAAGCGCATGGAAAATGATCTTAATTGAGCAATTCGTTCTTTAAGTATTGAATTGTTATATAGATTTTTTTTTAATTCATTTTTAGTTATGTAGTAGGGAACAAAATTTGGTTGTGAAATATTTAATATGAATATTTATTAATGAGAGTAATTTTATTTTACATTCGTTGATAATAAGGGATTATATGATTACAAAGAAGGAAGTGAAAGCTTAGAATAAACTAAGAAAATTAAATGCATTGAATATATGTTAGAAAAGTTAAACCTATTGAATCTAAAAAAATTAATAATACCAAAAGTCAACTGATGATTTAGTTAAATATTTTCAAACAATGTGCAAACAAAGGAAAAAGGGCAAACTAAAAAATACATCTCGTCTCATTTTATAAGTGATAAAAAGAAAGAAATCTTGAATCAAAAAACCCAGACTAATAAATTACGTTACTATTCATAAAGGAAGATTTTAGTTTAAATTTTGTTAACAAAAAAAAGAATTACTTAAATCTATTTAGCAGATTCATTATATTGAAAAAGCCTAAATTAAATGGGGAATAATAATGTAAATTTAATAAAAAAATAAAGCCTTAAGGATTGTTAATAATATGAGTATATATGATGTTGTTCATAATATTGATCCATCTCATTTTTCAAAAGACTTTAATAAGAGTAATTAGTAATTTGATAAAAATATTTTCGTTAATAAAGGAATTTATTACATTCTCATTTAAACATGAATAGTATTAAGTAATTATGTAATTATTTTAATATAAATAAAGTTTAATATAAAAAATATTAAATACTCCTTTAAGAAGTATTAAACTATTTCATTTTTTGATAAGATTGAGCTTATGATTAATTTTCCAATAAATATATACAGATTAGATGCATATGGTAGATTTTGCAATAATATCCATTTTATTTTAGACTTTTTCATAAATATCTTTTAAAAGAATTATACAGAAAAAATTGATGAATAATGGCATAAGTAATTTAATTTCTGTTGTATAAAATCATAACCTAATTTAACAAAGCTGCTAATTTATTGATATGTTGACTTGAATATTATTTAATAGGATTGCAATTATAATAGAAGAAAATCAGAAAAGATTTAAAATTTTCATCTATGAAATCAATCTTTTAAAATACTATTTAATATATATATTCTAATAACAACTGGTATTTTATATTGAATTAATAGAGATGGTTCAAAATTAAAAATTTTAAATATCAAATAATATTTCTAGCACATCTAAGTTATTATAATAATCTTAATCAATACATGCTTATAATGTTAAATTGAATAGTATTGGCTTCTTCTTAAACATAGACATAATAATAATAATGTTATCAAGTTATGGATAAGATTTTTGATAATTAAAAATATGAAGTTAAAGATCATTAATAATATAAGTTAAGTCAATTAATATATTAGCTAATTGTTGGAGTATTCCATCTATATTTATTTAATCTGAAAAATTTTGGTTCACTTTATATTTAATTTAGTTCAGACTAAAAGTCTTATCATCTACAATTTCACTTAATTTTTTCCAAATAATTATTATGGTAATTTTGCTTTTTAATTAGATTGTTAATTTATTGAGAATAAACTATCAGATAATCTCTAGGACACATAGTTTATTTGGAGGATTATTCTATAAATATTAAAAACCTCTTTCATATAAAATGAAAATTTCATTTATACCTTTAAGTATTTTACTTTTTAGAGATAAAATATAAAGTTTATTGTATCTAACTAAGCTATACATGGATAATTAATATTTAATTCCTTCTGAATATGCAGATAAACTATATCAATAGTTTAGTATTCATTATGAAAAATATAGTTTTTAAAGTTTATAATTTTAGGTAAAATTTATAACAAATTTCCTTTAATTAACATCAAATTCTAATAGTGATGCTCTAAAGATAAAAGAATTATAGATCATAAAATCAAATATTAATTTATATGTAATTTACTTACATCTACATATAATTATGTATTTTTAATAAATATTGTTTTAAATGTCTACTGTGTGAGGCAGTAAAGTACTGCATGTGAATATAGCAATCGATTCTTGAATGATGGATTTTAGTTTCAGATCTTCTATGATTATGGTAAGAAATTAATCAAGCGAATTGTAAATGAAGGTAACAATCGACCAAACATTTCAATTATATGCTTTATACTATTAAAAGAAATATTTTACAAAATTGAATAAAGCTATTACAAATTGTTTATTGTTTTAAGAAATAAAATTCGCAAATATTTGTAAACTATATATTTCGCTGTAATTATTAATTTTTACTTATATACGATAAATTTGTTAGTATTAAATAATATGGGCCTTATAAGGTAGATTTATAAATGATCAAAGTAAATATTTAAATTAAAATGTATAATGGATTAAAAATATATGGGTAATTTGAAATAAATTTGAAAAATGAAAAAGAACAGAAAGAGAAAGAGCTAGAATAAGCAAAAAAATACTAAAGAAAAATGTTTCAGCCACCTAGAATGACAAACTTAGATAATGGATAAAGATCAATTTCAAAATTTGTAAAGATTAATTTATATACTTAGCATTATATTTTTTAGATAAAGAAAATATATAGAGAACAGGAAATAAACGGCTCTGAATTAGAAAGGTGAATAGGCTATTAAATGTTTATAAATCTTTTTTTTGAAATGTTTTAAAAAAATTCCTCAAAAGTTATTTTTCAGTTTTCAAGTAATAAAGTTAATTTGAAAATTTCAGATAAGAGAAAAATTTTAGAAGCAGAAATGAAATCGAAAGTATAAACTCTTAAATTTCAAACTAAGAAATTGTTCCAAACTTTGATTTCCAATTTGAATGCAAATGATATTAAATTAGAAACCATTGAATTTTTGGGATCATTACTTCATGATTATGAATTTCCTATTTCCAACTTTTTGTATCTTTTTGAAATAAATAGTCAACTTTTCTCATTTTGGTTAATTAGTTAATATGACTGATATTAAAGCAGAAAGTTTATTGATATCATTAATTTTAATAAGAGTTTTTATTCTCAGAATTATATTAAAGCCTTGGGCTGAATTTCCAGATAGAGCTAAAAAAAGAGCTATTTGAATAAAATTGTTTTATAGTAGGAAGTTTAATGTATTAGATAATTATGGATCTTCTAAAATCTTAATGGTTTTCAAAACTTGGTAATTAATCTAATTTACTCTCTAAATATCAAACCTATCCTCGACCTTTAGGACCATTATTATCTGATAATTACTAGTAGCCTAAAGATGTAGCAGAAGTGAGATAAATTATTCATTCACATGATATTATATTACAAACATACCTTTTGAATCTATTACTTCTCATTTTAAACAGATAGACTTCTTCAGTGTAATTTTATATTTATAATATTTAGAATGATAATAATGTTTCATTATCTTTTTTTGTTTAAAGCAAGATTTGGATTAATCTAAATAAAAAAATGAATCACAGTAGCTCCCTAATTATTCTGTTAATTTATAGAACTCTAAGAACCATAAATAGTCAACTTCAGATCTTCATTACACAGTGCTAATGGAACAGTATATTCATCATCATACATGGCATCATTATTCTTCAGTGCGCTATTACTATATTCATCTATAGGCTACGGATTAACACTTTGTATCATTTCATTTTCCAATAATGCCTCTTGTATATTTCCTGACTTAATTTAAATTGCCTATCTGAAGTGAATCTGATCCTATTATTATTTGTTTGTTTTCTGAGAAAAATTTAATTAGTTAGTAGATAGTAATCTTTTTGAATCTTAAATATATTAATGATATATATTTTCTTAGTGAATTAAAATGCAAGATGAATGTGGAGTTGAAAACTTCCATGCAAACTTGGAATAACTGTTTAGCTAATTTTACCCATAAGTATAATAATTGTAATCACAAAAAAGAAGATTTTAAATCATTATTAAATTATTGTTATATAATTTATATTATCTTGAAAATAATTGGTGAATAAAATTTTAAGAAATAAAATACAATATTTGTTTGGACAAGGAATGGCTTAATTGAAAGGATATCATTATATTAATTTTTCAACAGAATTAATGAAGTTAACAATATCATCAAGTTCAGAAGAAGAATCATCTTATAATGTTAAAGAATAAGACAGAATATTAAAGAATTCAAATATTTATAAATAAAAAGCCAATTCTCATTTGAATTGTTTAAAGTATCCAAATAAAAAAGTATAAATATTAAAATTTTTATTTATAGGCTAAATATTATGCCTAAAATGATAATCGAACATTAATTAATTAGTTCTAAATGTGCCTTGAATTTATCCTTGAAGGGTCATGAAACTGAAGAAAATGCTGTTGCAGAATTAGAATTTCAAAGACAAATGAGAATTAATTAATTTTATGAAACGAAGAAATAAGCCGTATTAGTTTGCAATTGAAAAATACTAGGCTTAAATAATCTCTAAATTAGCCAAAAGTAAAAGCTTGAAGATTAAAATACAAATTACGTTAAATTTTTTGAATAGGTAATTGAAACAGCTCAATAATTAAAATAAACTTATATACAAAAGTTTTAAAATGATAATTCAAGTCTAGAATAGAATAATTTGGATTGTCAATAAGGTGTGACAAATAACGAGAAACAATTATAATAATATTAAATTGACATTTCGAAGATATAATGCAAAGATAAGAGAAGCGAATAAGAAGTATTTAACAATTATTAACTGAAATCAGGTGTAAAAATCAATTAGTTTAAAATATCTTCATTTTTAACATTTTATGAATAATAATGTGCAATATTTTGTTGAATGATACATCTTAATCAATAGAATGTATAAATAACTCAATCAATTTTAACAATCCTTCAATCAATATGAAAGTATTGGATATCTTAGAAAATGATGACATCTACTAAAGCACATTCTCTAACACAATTAAAGATACCAATAGCTAAAATCCTCCATCTCCTCTATCTAAATTGCCAATTTATAAAAGTAATGGATCTAACCCAATATCTACAATCTAAAATTCAAGAAGAGAGAGTAACTCAAATACCCCAGAAAGTTGGAATCACACAAATATTTAGAATTGTGATCAATAATCATAGATACATTAATAGATCAATAGTCATAATGAGTAACCAATTGTGATCAACTAATAACAGTAAATTTCTGAATAGTTCAGCCTAAAAGAAATAATAAAATTACCTAATGAGAATGCATAAATTGTTGAATAACCTAAAAATTTAGAAATCACATCTTTGATTCATTAAAAAAGTTAAAACATCATGCCACAATCTATAAAAATTCATAATCATTAAAAAGAAATATAGCTTATTATTTTCTTAGATCAAAATGAATTAAACACTATCAACAAATCTCAAGATTCAAAATAAAGAAAATAGCAGCCATCTGTAGATCATATTGAACAGAAGAGATTTTATACACTAAATCAGAATCAATAAAAATCATAATAATAATAAGAAGACACCTTGAAAGATAGAAATTTTAAAGAATTAAGTGGACATTCTGGTGAATCTGTTTACAATTAAGTTGTAAAAATAAATACTTTATAATAAAAAATGAAAAAAGAAAAGGAGAACACTCAGATTAATTGGATAGGTAGTTTAAGAAATAAGTAAAATATATTAGAAAAAACCAGTAATGAAATTATCTATAATTTAATTTTTCCAAATTGAAAATAATACTTTAAATGATATATACGTTATTTTAGCAAAGAATAATATAAATGAAATATTTATTTATTATTGGATTTGTTTATTTGACTCTTGGTAATTCAATCGTATGAAAAAAAACATCAGGTAGTCATAATAATTATTTGTTAGAATAGTTATTCCCACATCTAATGGATTGGCTCAAAAATAAAAATAGAAGGGGGATCAAGCTTTGTCTTTCAGTGCTCTCATCTAAATCATTTAATAAACATGCGAAGAACTATTTCAAAACACTGAAAATTCAGAGTTTATCAAGTCGTTTTAATAATAAATATTCTGTTAGAGTAACATAATTAAGATATTGAAATATTGTTAAGAAAAAAAAAGTTTGAATATGTTAGGGTAGAAAGTATAGAGAAACTAATTAAAGATGAATTCTAATATTATTCTAACTACTTCAAAATTATGATCAAGGATAAAGAAAAAATGATTGATTAAATCAAAGATCATAGTAAATTGCAAGATAAACTTAACTGCAGAAAAATTATAAAAAACTTTAGAAATAATTGAGTCTAAAACAATTATAGGATTATTTAAACAACAATCTGAAGAAATATAGCTTTATTTAACTCATGTCGACCTGCTATTAAAGACAAAAAATTTTCAATAAGATTAAGTAATTCTTTAATTTATCTAGTTTGAAATAATAAATCTAATTTCAATGATAAAGAATGTCTTACTAGACATGAAATTTAGTATATAAATAAAATCCAAGATGATAATATTGCTACCTTTGAAATAATGAATTTTTTTGAAAATACTAAAACTACTCATTAAATAGCATTCGAATATTTTAAGAATGAATCTATTTAATTCTTAGGTAATAAATTATTGTATTAAATATCATAGGCAATTTAATAAAAACTTGGGAATAATCATTTGAGAATTAAAATGGAATATTCAAAGATAATATAGAATTTTTTTAGACCATTGAAAAATTATCAGATGAGACTAATAAAATTGATGATTCTCTTAATTCAACCTCAAAATTTAAAAAATACTCTAAAAAATCTAAAAAAGACAGTCTAATTCTTAGAGCATTCGGATTGATTAAATAGAGTTATATACATTTTATCTATATGTATATCCATAAATTGAAATCATTTATTAAACAATCACAAATTTTTTCGAATGATCTTTAGAGTGAATGGCTTAATCTTTATTTTGAAGATCACTTTGTAACTTACAGAGGAATTTTATTATAATGGAGAAATACGTTTGTATAAATGTAACACAGTATATGTTATTTATCATGGTAGCCATATTTTTCTGTTTTTCGTTTCTTACAAAAATTAATGTTCTACAAAATAATTCATGGAATCTGTTATGGTGGAAGTAGTTAATAATAACAAACATGAAAAGGGTTTAGTTTTAATTAGCTTTTTAAATAATACAATTACTATTGGGCTTTTTACAACTATTATTATTGTAATTAGAGAATATATTTGAGTTTTTGATTAATTAACTAAATGTACCTTTTTTTTTAAGCAATTTTAAAGAAGATTTAAAAAGTGATTTTCCAATCCAAAATGCTTTAATGAGGAGAATAGTGCTGAGAACTCAAATAATTCTCTCTTAACATCTAAATCATTCATTATGCAGTACTACCAAATTATTGAAACCAATTTACAATATTCAATTCAATATTTATAGAATAAATTTGCAAAGCGATTAATTAATTATAAAGTATAGATTGTTCTTATCAATTCAGAACATTATGGTTTTGGTTGTGATGGAAAAGTGAAAAAAGTTGATAATGAACATTATGATAAAGCAATTGAATTGAAAGATGAAGATGACCAAGAAATTGGTAGTGGTGAAGAAGATGAAGATTAATGTAATGTGTTTACCTACTATTCTTTTAGATTAAGCTGAAGCTAGAGGAGCCCAATTATCGGGTTTTAAGAAGGAAAGGTTCCTTTGCCTGTTGGTGCTTACAATCCAAATGATTATTCAAATTTATAAGTATGAGCAGAAGTCTAATAATTTTTTGAGTATATTTTTAAGTATTTCTATTTTTAATTTAAGATACAATAAATGTCTTCATAAAAAGAGAATTCTAAATTTCAAATATACAAAGCTCCTTAAATGGTTTTGGATGCTAAATTAAATCCATTTATACCAGATTATGTACCTGCTAAAGGTGAAGTTGATACATTCATAAAAATGCCAAGACCTGATGGCTAACCTTAGACACTTGGTATAGTTACATTAGTAATCTATATATCTAAATAAATCCAAAAAGGCTAAATTAGATTTATTGATGAGAGAATATGTAAAGGTAGCAAATAGGGGCATAAATACTACTATTCATGCTATATAAAATGCCGATAAAAATCCAAAGGAAATTACAACATAGATTAGTGATGTGGCAGAAATACATAAAAAAAGGAACCTCCATCTGTTTGATATTCTAAAATTATGCCTAATATTGAAGAATTAATCTAAGTCTGGCCTTTAGAAATCGAAGACTTATTCTAAAGCACTTAATTATCATGTGACAATATTGACATGGGTTTTTAAGAATATTGTTAATTCTCAAATTTGTTAGATATTTCTGTTTAATCAATTAATAATAATAGAAAAATCATAGAGTCTTTGCATGTTGTATTCACATTTTTTCGGAATTCAAAACAAATTAAAAATTTAGACAAAACAATGATGAAATTTAATGAATATTCAATATTATAAAATTATTTTCATTTTCATCCTATTCTCAGATTAGAAAATATCTATTATAATTATTAATGAAAAATACGATAAATTTCAAATTCTAATTAATATTAAAATTGTTTGCTATTTGATAAATCCATTTCCATTTTGGAAAAATAATAATAACAACATTATACAAAATTTCTAAAATATAAAAACCCAAATTGATATCAAAAATCAAACTCTGCAAAATCAACTTGTCTAAAAATTGGAATGATTTTGATGCAAAATATGGAATTACGATTAAATATTTCATTATTTACTAAACATAAAAAAATTTATTATATAAATATTATCCAAAAAAAATCATTTTTTGTGACAGTTCATTTTATGAATAAACTATTGCAGAATTAAGTAACTTATAAATTACTGAACAAGACTGTAAAAATAATTTAATAAAATAAAAAGGAATTTTAGAGCATCTTTTATTTAAATTAACTCTAGAAGAATAAATGATTAACTTGGAAAGAGTAGATTTAGAAATAATTGAAAAGGAATTTGGAGAATAATTAATTGAAGAAACCGATCCTTTAACTCTTACTGAAAGAATTATGAAAATTATAAAAGTTTTTTCAATAGAATTTTCATTAAACATTATCAATAATGAAAATCTTAATCATAACTAATTGAATAATGAAAGTATTTGATTTTATTTTAATAATTAAAAAAAATTAACTAAAATGAAAATTGTGTACTAGTAGAATAACTTAAAGTACAAATCCATTAAATCGAAAAAGTTTTTAAATTATTGTAAGCTTCCATAAATCAAAATCTTGAAATTTTTCAAATGCCAACCATTAAATAGTCAGTGATTTAAAAGAGCAATTTGATTAATTTAAAACAAAATATGGATAAGAATAATAGAGATGATTAGAATACTCAAGAACTCAATACATTCCAAAATTAAAATAGAACAAATTTATCCTTCATTATTAATATTCTTTTATTATTATTATTAAAAAAAAAAAAAAAAAAAAAAAAAAATTGGCCAAATTCCTTAAAAT